ACCCCCACAGGCACACATAGAGTCTTGTATAGATGCAGCACTGCTGTCGCGTTTTCACTCATAACTCAATGAAGCATACATAAATCGTGGAAAATGGCACAACATTATATACAGCAGATTGTTAAGATTAAAAAGAGCCCAGACTCACCATAATCCATCACTCAGATCTAAAGATATTCCTTATGGACTTCTAACACATGAAGTTGCACTTTGCGCACCAATGAAGTAGCAGTAGCAGTGACATGCTATGTTGTTTTGATGTAACGTTTCAGCTCATAACTCCACGGATTGTGAAAAACTGAACATCTTTATTGACAGCAGATTCTTACGATTACTAAGAGCCCAAACTCAACATAATCCATTGCGTTGATCGCGAGATATACCTCACGAAGTGATGCATACTTGGCTAAAAAACATGTCTCTCATCTTTCCGGGATGCAATGTGTTTTCCAATGTTCCCGGAGCCATCCGTGCTTTTTTTCAAACGTGGCATAACACAAAATATGTATCATCTTAAAGCTTAGAATCTCAGCTTTGTAAAGATCTAACCACTTCGATCAACTCTGAATGAGCGCTGACTAGTCCCTCTAAAACGGAGTGTACCGCCCGCGGGGGCCACCTAGCTGCGAAAATATTAATTTTTAAAATTAAATTTTTCAAAAATATTGCCTTGATTAACACAAAATAGGTGTCCTTTACAGTGAATGTAGCCAATTTGAAAAACTCCTAAGTGTTGCTGAGTTATTTGCTGATAAATATAATTTCTTTTTTTCCATAATCTATAACATACTTTTTTGTACTATGTACTGCAATATGTCAAAAACATCATACAGCTCATGAAACATTCACAGACCGTTGAAAATGGCACATATTTTTTACAGCCTATTATTACAATTAAAATGAGCTCAAAATTAACATAATCTATTGCTTTTGTGACAAGATATTCTCAATGGAGAGACCATTTTAAGAATTAAATTTAGGGGGCGTCAATAACTGAACAAAAAGGCTGTCTTGGTTCCAAATGCTGTAACTTTTGATTCCTTTATCCAATCACCAGAAAATTTTATCCAGATGCAGGTCACATGTAGAGGGACTTCACCAAAAAATAATTTTCCTCCTACCTTATTTCCTTCCTGAGTTATTCCATGTCAAATAAGAAAGATATGCAAATTCATAATAATAATTATATATATATATATATATATATATATATATATATATATATATATATATATTGTCTTCTATAAGCAGTTTCTTGGCAGGAGAATGTCCAAATGTAATGTAATTTATATTTTCAAAAAATTTGAAAAGTGTTCTATCAAACGATACCTACCTTTTGGGTCTCCTTTGTTATAGTTTTGGAGTTATGAGTCTTTACTTTTATGTGTGTTTATGTGTGTCATGGGGTTAAAGCAGAATTTGAGGTAGCATTGTTTTGACCCTAATTACAAGTTTCCAGCAGCTTGTTGACCGGGTTGTCCACCCAGGTTGTGATCCTCAGACATCATAGATTTCATTTTTATATGACAACCTTTTACAGCAGCCCATGTCTGCTAAACCCCCTTTGCCCCCTGGGTACATGGTTTGATTTAAAGTGTAGAAATCGTGTTTTTTTGGTGGATTAATTACCATTTGTATAACCACAGTTTCACAGACAGGGTTTAGGATTAGGCCAGGATTAGGCCTTAGTTCAATTAGGACATTTAAGTAGTTTTTTATAAACATGCCTTAGAAAAAATATATTACTGGTGTGCATCTTGAGACTTAACAATGACACTGACATATTTTATGATATGTCAGTGCTAGTTGCCTTCAGTTAAAACAGCTCAAACATACATTTTAATCTGGGACTAGACGTGGCAAAGTGTGAAACTGGGGGGAAATGTGCATAGGCCTACTAAACAACGAAGCGAAAGGAGCGTTTAGTGACCGACTGCGGCATAAACGTAATAAAAAAAACAACGTAAAATGTCCAAGTCTCTCGGCCCCAGCCTACTTCTTACCACAGTAACATTAATACAACTTCAATACATTAACTCATCCATGAACATGATTTCTGCCTGAGTCCGGCGTCCGCCTGTCCGTCGGATGGTTTCCCATCGGCTGTGGAGGTAAAGCCGACAACTCCCATGATTCCACGCTCATTCACGGCTTCATCAAGCTATGCCTTGCTTTGATTGTTTTGAATAAGCGACCTCAAGTGGCGGAACTTACATACTGCCTTTGAGCAGTACAACCGTGTTCAACATTGATTATACTAAGAAATGTTTCTTGAGCAGTAAATGAGCATTTAAAAATGATCTCTGAAGGATCATGTGGCACTGAAGACTGGAGTAATGATGCTGAAAATGTAGCGTTACCATCACAGGAATAAATTACCTTTGAAAATATATTCAAATAGAAAACTATTGCCCACAAAACCTTGTTACAGAAGGAAATTATGTCATGATGATCATAATTTATACTGAAAAATACTTTTCAATTTCAGTATGTGCTTTTTGTAATTATATGTGACTCAAGAATCAGTTCTTCTAATGTTTAAGCATGGAAGTTTTGGCTTCTCATGGTTTTAACTTTCATTTACATGAAGAGCCAGGAACCATGAGTCAGCATTTACAGATCTTCAATCAACAGTGAATGCATTAATATTTGTGTTTAGATTCATTGTGAGACATTTAAGAGAGAAGCAAAGTCTTGTCTTGATATTTTACATTATAGCAGTGATCAAGGGAATTACAAGATAATTGTGGTTTAAATTTAATTGTGGTATAAAATCAAAAAAGATTTGTCCTTGGACACTTTATTATCAACTGATTTTGGACATTGAGCAAGTAGGAAAGGGTGTGGTTTCAGGGGGGATGATTTCGGTTTTTCTTTCTTTGATTCTTTGCTTTGGATGAAGTGATAAGGATCAGTACAGGGTAACATTAGTCACCTATTGCACGCACCATCTGGAAATCCCGCATTACCTTGGTAAATCAAACTGTTGCTCACAGAGACAAATTAACTGTCAAAAAACTGGTTTTTACCCACCACCCCTCACCCCCACCCCACCCCACCCCACACAGCCTATATGAATAATATCAGCATTTATCTGTTATAACAACCAGAGAGATTCTTTGTACTCGCACAATAGATATCATTGGCCCGCTGCTATTCTGCCTTTGGCCACGAGATGGCAATATTTTGCCATCACTAAAAATGAACTACAACGAGCTGGTTTTCAAAAACAGCGAGGTGTTCAGAATACAGATTGTCTATTAATCCGTCTTTAGCTTCTAGTGAGACTCCTACACAAAGTCCAGTGAGGCTGGACATTGTCCACTTAATAGGGTTTTAGGTCAAGAGGAAGTTCTGTTTATGAAACCTAACTTTGACCTTGCTTTACCCTAAACTACAACTAATAAAACACTATCAGCTGTTCATAATTGTTTTATGATTTGTACTTTCACGATCCAGACTCTTTTAACAAGTCTAAATAATGAACCTACTGTTTCAGATCTGTTCATTTGAGTAACCAACAGTGAAAGACATAAAATACATGATATTGTCAGGAGAAAATACTCTCTCATTATTCCCGACACAGTATGCATTAGGTTGAGTATGTAGTATGCAGCAGCTATATTATATACAGCCGTTTTGGAGACATAAACGTAAATAGGACACAATTCAGTTGTCCCATTATGGATTTCTTTGCATAATGGGGACTTTATAAATACAGACTGTGCAGGAAAAAAGTGATTTAAATGACACTAAGGAACCATTTAGAGTGAGATAAATAAGTAAAATCCTAAGTGATTCAGTCTATGGCAGCTGTACGCCAGGAGAGGAATGTGCTCTTGACATTGGGAGGTTTATTTGTGCTGTGTTCATGGTTGGAAAATGGATTGTTGTTATTACATTCTGTATCAACAGCAACTGTGACCCAGTTATGAGATATGAGGAAGAGAATTAGTGTTCATTATACATAAACTTAAGCTTGACCTTTCTCTGCGGAAAGGAATTGTGAGGTTAGCAATGTTTCAAATAATATTCAATACAAATATTGTGCCCTGAATTCCTTGCAATGAAACACTCGTGACACTCGTTGATTAATTACTGCACAAAAATGCAGGTTTGCCTTTATTTATTTTCAAACACAATAAAAACTAAATAAGAATTATTCACATTGTTGCCTGGATCAATTCTGTCAAAACAAATGAACAGAAAAACATCCCTGGAACTCTAACATAATTACTCAAAAAACACCTACAGTTATTTTTTTTCCTTCATAAATAGGCGCAAACAAGTACCATAAAAAGATCTCATATAGACACAGTGTAGAGGAATAGTAAATGATCAGCCATATGCCAGGGTTATACAGCAACTCTCCAATCTGCCACTGTTTCTTCTAATTAACACCATATAAGCATCTGACAGTTTCATACACATAGTTTGGATGAATTAATCAATATGCCAGAAGTGATACAAAAGAATTATTTTGTGTAATACAAAATAAACTTTTCTTTAGTACTTTCCTTAATGAATCATTTCATGCCACCTCGCTGGTTGATGCCATCAACCTTTACCTTATTAAACTTGGGAAAAGAATACTTCTTTTGTCGGTCCAATCAATGGCGACTTCCGATGCCAAGCAACTACCCCTCTTGGCTAATTATCCCTTTTCGAGTTTTAAACGAACTGGTGTGGTCCAATTCAAAATCACATTGTTACTAGAAAAGAAAAAAGTTGAAGTCTTATACTCTAGGAGTAACACAGATTCTATTTACAACTTGAAACGAGGGCTGCTTGAAACAACCCGTCTGGTCGTTCATAACGTTCCTATGAGCGACTGTTTTATACTTACAACAGAACTCTGTTTCTAAGGCAGTTGACTAGAAAAAATCATTACAGAGAGGAAGAATGATACGACGAGAAAGAGTGTGGAAAAGAGAGGGGCGAAAGCAGGAGTCATATCATCCACATTCTTTTTTGTTGCTTTTTTTTTCTTCAGATTGTGATTTTCCTCTTTGTACAAAAAAGAAGTTCTGTTTTGGTTCTCGTTCCGCCGTTTGTCAGCGAGAGCTTGGAGTCTCCGACACGCAGCGGTAAGTGCTTAGGAACTGATGGATTGACAACCTTCCTGCGAGGCAAATTGACCTACGCAACGTCTTAAAAACCATAAACAATCTCCAATAAAACACACGTCTACGGGGGGTTTCCATACATGGTCTCTTATTAGGTACGCAATGAGGACGCGGAACAGTAGGAGGTAAGTCAATATCATTAGAGAAGTGATTGCATTTAAACAAATTTTAGCATTCAATTTACATGTTCATGCTTTCGATGATTTAAACTCTATTTTAAAGATCCAAAAGGTCTGAATGTCAGAAGCTAGAAGGAAATTGCAAAGCCACCACGGTAGGGTGCACTAAAGTGTGAGCCATGAGAAAGAAAACATTCAAACGTTGTTTTGCTGATGCGTGGATTGTGTCTAGTCTAAAATAAGGCCTGAATAATTATTCAGGCCCTGAATAGCTGTACTGGGATGAGGAACTGCCTTGGTCCTGTGAGCGTGAAGGAGCGTGCGGCTGGACATGTCGATCAGGTCAGGTACAGGGCTTTGTCCCTCTGCAGAGCCCTGCGAAGGCAAATACGAACAAGTCAAAATGGCTGTCAGAGAAATTTGCTTATTTTCCTGAGTGATTGTGATTGATCTCGCTAGTGTCCACTCACCCGTTGCCGCAGTAGTCAGGGGTCCAGTCCAGGCCCTGGGTCGGTCCGTTCCTGCATCCGGTGCGGTAGTCCATTGAAGGGGACAGGCCAGGTCCGGCGGAGGATGTGACATTTACCATGTTCTGATAGTCTGCCTGAAGGGGGAAACCCTGAGAGGGAGAGAAGAACACAATAGCAGATTACATTATGAGATCTTACACGCTGCAGGTCCCACAGAGACAAGGCTCTGCAGAGGTATGAGAAGCAAGCTGGATCTGTTATATAATAATTATTATTTATATGCCAGAATACATTATTTCAGCACAATATGTCGTGCTATTATTTTTGTCTGGAAAACACAAAAGTAGACATTTTTAAGGAATGGTTACGCAGCTTTTGCCATATAAGAACAGCTTGTAGTGACCAGGGACTGTTCAGAAGTTGTTTTGAAGCCATACAATGGCTTTGTGTGGGGAATTTAAGGGTGTATTCACACCAGGAAAGTCCGATAGTTAACTTGCTTTGGTCCGGACCAAATCAATTTTTAAATTTTTTTTTTTTTTGTAAGGTTCGCTTTCACACTGCTCTTTTTGCAAGTGAACCAAAATTTGTAAACAAAACCACACATGTGCTAAGGTCGTCCATTCATTGGACAAGGATTCTCAAGTAGGGAAATCAGAAAGTGCAAAAAAGGCTTAACGCAGCATCATCCTTGTATTGTAACTATCGTTACATTATATGAACTGCAAATGCTTTTTTTTTTTTTTAGGATTTAAAAAAGGGAGAATTAGAACAAAAAAGCCTACATAAGAATGACATTTTTGAGTCAGTAATGTTGTCATTGGCTACGCATTTGTGACCGGTAAGATTTTAAAAAATGTTTTTGAAAGAAGTCTCTTGTGCTCACCCAGACTACATCAATTTGATCAAAAATTCAGTAAAACAGTAATATTGTGAAATATAATTACAATTTAAAATAGCTTTTTTTCCATTTTATTATGTTTTAAACAGTAATTTATTCCTGTGATGCAAAGCTGAATTTTCAGCATCATTACTCCAGTCTTCAGTGTCACATGATCCTTCAGAGATCCTTCCTGCTGATTTGCTGTTTAAGAAATGTTTCTTATAATAACCAATGTTGAAAACAGATGAGCTGCTTATTTTTTTGTGGAAACCGTGATGCAGTTTTTGTTCAGCATTCTTTGATAAATAGAAAGTTTAAAAGAACAGCATTTATTTCAGATATTTATTTTTACTGTCACTTTTGATTAATGTAAAGCATCTTTGCTGAATAAAAGTGTTAATTTGTTTCAAAGAAAACAAATCTTACTGACCCCAAACTTTTATTTATTTATTCAGAATGCTGAACTAGCCTTCCTGTTTTTCTCAGAGAAACTCAAGCGAAGCACAAAACAGCTCGTTCAAGTCTAATTCCAGCAAACATCCTACACGATCTGAAGTGGACATGATGACAGTGTAACGCAAGCAGCCTCAAATGAGCATTAATGAGCAACTGCATTCGGTGGTCGACGAGACCGGTGGGGGTAGACGAAAAATAAACGAAGCAGATATTCTAATTTGAAGACTTCTTCTCTGTTCTTAGCCTAGGAAAGACTGCATGTGAAAAGGAAGTTAATCTCAGTGGTACACAAGAGAATCTGCCTGAAAGAGCAAGACAGCAGGTGGCTGCGTTTTTTTCCCCCTCCAGAGATTCTACCTATTCATGAATTGTTCCTCAAATTCTTCTCCTTCATTCGATCACAAAGGCTCCATCTGCCCCTTTGTGTCCCCCCCAACGCCCCACCTCCCCCCTGCCCGCCTCGGCTCACCGAAAAAGTTGAACCGCGCGTTTTTGTTTGCTCTCCACAAATATGCAAAAATGAACGAGGATTATTACTCCCCTTTGGATTTAAAAACTCTCCCATAAAGGCAGGATCTGTGGAACAGGCTTAAGAACTCCCCAAACGGAGGAGAGAAAGCCAAGTTTAAGCATTCGTACTCTCCTCCAAAAGATTGACAGAGCTATACAAGGAGCCCTGTGGTAATCTAAAATTGGACTTCAGACAAATTCACACTATAATCTGCATGAAAATTAGACACTTTTTTGCCTTATGATGATGATCATCCACAGCAATAGTTAATTTTCCTGCTGAGGACTGATAAAAAAGAAGCACATGAAATTCAATCAAGTAGTTGCTCTTTTAAATACAACGTTTCCCAGAATTCCCAGCAGGCACAGGAAGGGAAACTTACAACAATATGCCTTTCATATTCAAATGTGGAAGGCGAACTTTTTTGCGGCAACAGTTTGAATTAGAAATATGTTTTTCGGTTTCGTCTTTGATGGAATCTATACATTCCTTAATGATTCCTATCAAAACACACTTCAATTCAAACGCGAACAGCTCATCACTCAATGTCGGCGTGGCGCATCCCTCTGTGAAAGATCAAACCGCTGTCATTGGATAGCGTGTCACCTGTTCTCCTGACCACCTGATTCATCTCTCTTTATGAAGCTAATCCCTGTTTACCCCAAGACAATGTGATTCTCCGCCCTCTCCTTCTCTCCAGCACCAGCCAGTCCTGCCTCCCAGCTGATGCTCATCTCTTAAAGAGCTTCCAGGCACAAGGGTGCTATTCATTAGGACCTCATTACAACCTCATCTCAATCCCACTGAAGTTCCAGCACAACTCAGGGCTATTAAGACATGAAACGGATCAACACAGAACTCTTAACGGCGTTGTCGCCGTCACCACGAGTGTTTAAGGAGACTCGGGCTTCAAACCTCTCCTTAACCACCTCTGTTTGAGATCTCTATTAGGGAAAGGAGGGTTTAATTAGCACTGATGCTAATAATGAGACTGGGTGTTAACGTAGGGCTGCAGCTGAAACACCCTCTTCTTCCTCGCACGGTAAAACAGGACAGGCAATAAACACAGTGAATGTTATTTCAAAAGAGGTCGTTTTCTCTTTAATTAGATTTTTTTGGGGGGTTGTTTGTGTGTGAATGGGTAGACTAGAGCCTTTATTTGCTTTCTCTGCTTTGCTGTTGTCCTCAAAAAACAACCTTCTCCTCCTATACACTTTAGCAGAGAACTAATTTCATTTCCTTCGGCCCAGTCTGAAAAACTGTTTTCATCAGATAGCTGAGGCGTTTTGTCTTCCACACTGATGTATTCATCAATCTCAATGTGAGTTTTTCTGTGCAACCTTAAGTCACATCCAAATCCTAATGCATCTGTTTATTACAGAAAGAAAATTGAAAATCTGTCTGTGTGATACGCTGGGATATTTTTTTTTGCACGGTGTGGACATAAAACAAGCTGGCAGATATTAATGGTTCTTCTCTTGACCTCATTCGCCGGTGCGAGAGATAGGCTGAAGGGGCCGGAAATGATGAAAAATGAAACGGTGCAGCATCTGCTGCATAAACAGCACTTCCTCCACTCTCACATTCATACACACACATATACTCTCCGCTATCTGTTCCACGATAATGTAGAATGGAAATTGGAGAAGTATGAGACAAGGCGGGTTCTTGAAGAGGTTTATGGAAAATAGATTGGCTGAGGAGCAAATCCTTTAATTGGCCCGGCCTGGTGTCTGTCATGCCTCTTTTTAGTCTTGCTTTAACAACAGTGAAAAGGCTGCTAATGTCTTTCTTGATTAAAGTCAACATGAAATTGAGTGCACAACCCATTTTACATCCTAAATGTGACATATTTCACAACAGAAGAAGAAAAATATAGGGAGGGTCTTGATTCTATCCATTAGGAATTGACCGGATGGTGAAAAGTGCCCTCTACATGGTTAGATGGGTGGGGTGAATTGTGTTACACTTTATTTTAAGGTGTCCTTGTTACAGTGTGATTACATTTAAGTACCGAGTAAAATTAATTAACTACGTGTACTTACTATTTAGGATTAGGTTTGTTGTAGGGTTAGTTGCATGTAATTATGCATCATTTAGAGTTATTACTATAGTAACTAGATGTAGCATGTGCAACAAGGACACTGTAAAATAAAGTGTTATCGTGAATTGTTCACATTAAGTCCAAGACGACATATTAAGAAAGCGAATTTTAGTCAATTTAGATTCAATTAAATTAAGTCAATTTCATGCTAACTTTAAAATAGTTTGAAAGTATTTATTTTAAATATTTAGGTGTTTGGATGTAGGGACTAGTGGTCAACTGATATGGCAACAAAAAATGTGTATGTGTACAGTCTTAAAGAGCTTAATGAATATATTACAGAAATATTTTTTTGTGCCATTGCCATATCATTTTTTTTTCTTTTTAGGACTTAAAAAAAATAAAGTCTCTTATACTCACAAAGGCTGCATTTATTTGCTCAAACATACAGTAAAACATTAAAAACTGTAATTACAATTTAAATTTGTAATTGAATGTAATTCAATGTAATTTATTCCTGTGATGGCAAAGCTGAATTTTCAGCATCATTACTCCAGTCTTCAGTGTCACATGATCCTTCAGAAATCATTCTAATATGCTGATTTGCTGCTCAATAAACATTTCTTACTAATTATCAATGTTGAAAACAGTATTTTTTTGGAAGCAGTGATACTTTTTGTTACGATTCTTTGATGAATAGAAAGTTCAAAAGTACAGCATTTATTTTAATAGACTATTTATTAAATATTTTAATAGACTATTTATTAAATATTTTGTTACATTATAATTGTCTTAACTGTCACTTTTGATCACTTAAATGTATATTTGCTGAATAAAAGTCCCCAAATATTTGAACAGCAGTGTACATATAGGAACTTACTTTAAATGTACAAAGTTTATCCAAAATTCAAAAGTATCTCAAAAGAAAAAAGCATCAGTAGATGTCTGACCTGGGCCATGGATGGGGAGTGCAGAGGCAGCGAGTGGCTGCTGAGCTGCTGCTGGTGCTGGTGCTGATGCTGGTGCTGGTGCTGGTGGAGACTGAGGTGCTGGTGTAAGGGGGGGCTGATCTGCAGCGGAGGGGGGGACGAGCCCGTCATGCTGCCCATGCTCATGGGCGCGCTGGGCCGGGATGTGCCACCTCGGGCTAGGCCTGGCTGCATCGGGGGCAGATGGGGACTGAGTCCTGGCTGCTGGTGGTACGGAGAAGCCATGTAGAGACCTGGGTGAGACTGACCTGCCCCGGAGAAAACTGATGGCTTGGGCCCGAGCATCTGAGAGGCCTGTGATACCTTCACATCGCCTGGGTCATTGTAGTTCTAGAGAAAGTTACGAAAATATTTTCGTTTTTGGTTGCATTGTTATTTTTAAGCATGTATTGTGTCATTGTCTGCTTTTAAAGGTGCTCTACGTAACTTTTAGCGGCCTCTAGTGGTGATGTTTCAGATTGCAACCAAATTTTACAAGAGCGCTCGTGCTCGAACTCATAGACAATACCGTCTATTACGCAAATATATCGGCGAATTCTTGACGGATTCGGCGAGCACCGAGCTCGTTGGGACCATCTAGTCGAGCTGAAAAGAACCATATAAGTTCCATAGTTTTTGGTGGTGTTTTCGCGGAGATATTAGCAGAAAACCATCGGGCGCGCTGCAAAATTGCGGACGCCGGTGACGTCACGATCGTCACGGAGGTCCCAGGGGAACCCTTGCCCGAACGCTAGAGTGGCGGGCCTCGGGGATGCCCCCTAACGGATCGCCGTTCGCTGGGACCCCCGATTTCGAACGGCTATAACTCGGGGAGCCGGGCGAGTTGGACCTCGGGGGTGGGCTCGTTCGAAAGGCCCCGTCCAGCACTACGAACGATTAGAGTCTTGGGAATATTGATCAAAGATTGACTGAGATATAAGCCGAAAAACGTGCGCCTTTAACCAGACGTAACTCCCTGACCGTCTACAACAGACTGTATATAAGGAGAGAGGCTCGGGAGCGCGCATGCACGTCACATCCGTTGGATTTCACGGTAAATCCGACCCGGAGACTTCACATAGAAATAGGAATACTGGCCTTCAGAGGTAATAGCAAAACTCGACAAGTGGATCATTTTAATGTGTGATTACAACCCCTTCACACACAGGCAATAAAAAAAGGATTCATTTTAGTAGAAAAGTTACATAGAGCACCTTTAAATGCCCGATGACTGTTCGATGTCTGAAATGTTGCGTTTAAATATGTATATATGCTATAAATATATGTATATTTAAAATTACATAAAATCAAATATCTAATATCAACTAAATATATATGTATAAAACCTAAATTGTAAATACATTTCATGAATGTATAGATACAAATATAAAATATATCTCTCTGTATTCCCCTTAGTCTTACTCGTAATATTTCCATTCAGGTTATATGCCTCAAATGTTGCAACATTTATTAAATAATATTGGATTTCTTGCAAGCTACGACAGCGTGAGATGTTTTTATAATGCTCTCTTCATAATATTTCCATTCAGGTGTGCGAAAGGGGTCTCAAAAACATCTCTAAGCTGCCAAACAAGAACATCTCGAAATGTCCCCTCTCAAACGTCGCGATTATAAAGCACGTACGCATATCAATAACCCCGAGACATTCACGTACCTGAGACACGAGGCTCGCTCTGTACGCAGCCAGCTGTTTGAGGTACTCCTTCTTTGCGGTTTCTGTTTTTTTCTTGTACACCTGCCATGATAAAACAAACAAACAAAGAAAAAATATATTAAGAGGCCAAAGCTGTTCTTCATGTTCCTGTGCACAATTATTCTTAGAAATGGGATCTAATGGCAGTCCATTTATGAGCCATAATGCGTAATTGTTGTTGGAGCGCTGAAATGGTGCTTGAGTGCAGCCCACTTTATCCATCGCTTGTTCTTCTGCCTTTATGGACTGTCCATATTTCCCTTTCAGTTAGGGCATATGTGTAATTATTTGCCCATCAATACATCTGTGCTGTTATTACATCAACCAATAGACCTCTACTAAAAAGACAAGAGCAAAAGAGAGCGATAGAGAAAGACAAAAACAGCAGAGAGACATGATGTTCTTTTATCAGGCAAACATCCTCTCCTGAGGAAAAGTACTTTTAAGTGTTTTCATCAGCTTCACCGGCTGAGTGTTTTACATAGTAAAAAGAGAGTGAATCAACGACTGCAAAAAATAAAAGAATGACTGTAGATGCTGTCTGGTGGCTTCGGTGAGAGAAATGGGTACTTTCAGTAGTGTTTATTCTGAAATCAGAAGCAACTCTGGAAGTCGTGTCATTCTTCAAAACCTAAATTCACACCCTAAGTGCCAATCCTTTTCATCATCACTGCTTTCAATCTTAAAAGAAACCTTGATTATTAAATATTTACAAGGGTATTTATTTGCTGTACTACATAAGGTCCAATATTTCACTTTGATTTGCACAATTGCTTTAATGCACAGCAAATAAAAAGTAATTATTAACTGACTGCATGATGTAATGTGTACCACTACCTTAAAGGGATAGTTCACCTAAAACTGAAAATCCTAATGTTCCTTCAAAGCTGTATGGCTTGCTTTCTTCTGTGGAACACTGTTTTTTTTTAAACTATCCATTTTATGAGGACAGTTTTTTAATTAGTTACTTGTAATATTTCAAGTAGTATGAGAGGAACTATTCATTTTAAATAGTGACTTGAGAGTGAACTTTTAAACCTGTTCAGAATACAATAAAATAACATAAAAAAAAAAATGCTGAAACCCATAATGCTGTTGTGAACTACCGTATGCTGTAAATAAGCATTTGGTGGTTAAAACTCAACATTACAGACTGTATTCCAGCTAAATATGTACCGAAACTTGATAAAGCGATTAATAGACCCCACAAAACTTTTCTTTTGTTATATTCCAATGAAAAAACAAAACATCTCACATATTGCACTGTTTTCACACCTGCCTTTAAGACTTCCCCTACATGCACAACCGCGCTGATGTTAGACCACAACGCCACTTTGGAGACAATGTTATTCTGTGATTGCACAAGGGGAAACCAGCAAATGTTCTGACCAACATGTGTGCGTCATCATGTCTGCTGTCATAACAAATCGTTATGCGGACATACTATTGTATATATTATAGATAATACTTTAGATAATAAACAAAACATGTGCTGTGTATATAGAAGCACTGAGTAATCTAATGCCTGCTACATTACCTCAGTCTTTATGAGTCAGCCACAAGATCACAGCAAGATAAAGTCACTTTTTCACATTTGCACACAAGCAAGGTTTATTAAAGAGAGAAAGTCACCTGTTTTTGTTCCTCGCCGAGACCGTCCCACATGGAGGCCACAATTTTGGAGACCTCTCCAAATGTGGCATTAGGATTTTGGCCTTTGATAGCTGCCTGTGTGTCTCTGAAGAACAGGGCATAGGCTGACACTGGCTTCTGAGGCTCGTTGGGGTCTTTCTTCTTCTTCTTCTTGGGGGTTTTAGGCTTCTTGGCCATGTCTGTGGCTGCTCTCTTCTCTGCCCCATTCATCTGAAAGGAGAGGAGCTCATTATAGTAAACAATAGATATCCAATTAGATTAAGCCATAATAACAGCTTTATGAATGAATCATCTTCCTAAAGCTAGTTAGTGAGCCTTGTTCAAAAGCCTGGAGCTATTTTTTTTAATTTTAATGACTTCCGCGCTTTAGACGTATATACCGGGTTCCCGCGCATTTTTACCAACGAATTTCCATGACGTTTGCAACTGTTTGTCATCTCTGAATAAGGATATTTTTAATTATTTTTATAAAGATTTCACTGACAAAGAGATATTTCTAGCTAATTAAATATTAATTTTAGAACTGAGGATAACTTGAAAAATTAATTTTGGCTATAGGGCATCATTTGTTCACAATTATCATTGATTATGGATTGTGATCACTGTACACATATCATATAGGACTATCCAAATAAGGGAATTTTATTTGCATGTATAAATACCATAAATGGGCATTTCATTTAGAAATAGTACTTTTTTATTGAAGTCAAATATTTTAGTTTATATTTTTTTATTTTTTTATTTCAAATATTATTTTCTACTCTGTGCAATATATATTTGTAATATAAATCAAATAAATCACACATTTTTCCAAGTTCAGTGTGAATAAATTACATCTTAAGGTGTATGAGTATTAAGTTTACACTTTACTACTGTAACTGTTTAATTAACAAAACAGACATTTAATTTAATTACTTGAATGACAATTAATCACCAGCCAAAGCTTCATACTTGTAACAATTCGAACTATATAAATGTCCATGATATTTTAAGATTGATAAGTGATTCAAATATCAGATTTGATTGTGATATGACTTGATCTGGAAATCACAATTTTAAAATTTCCTGAAATTTGTGACGGTGAGACTTTACATCAATATGAGTAGCTCGATGACTTTTTTAATGCTGAACCGTGTCTTCCATGTTAGGAAACAAGACAAAAATATCTTAGCAGAGCACATAGAAGGCCACACTTTCAGGAGGATCAGTATTGATGTGGAGTTTTGGAGAAAATGTGCTGTATTTGGGCTGTGAAGAACAGACTTGAGGCAGATCAGTGTCTTAGCAAATCTGTGTTTAAGGAAACATGGCAGTACAACTTACTGAAAGGTCAGCAGTGACTCATTACTTTTAATACACAGTATTTTGCCACAGTGCATAAAATAGTACCCGAGCGTGTGTGTGTGTGAGGAAGATAAGCTTTTATACAGTATTCATGAGATCATAGAATGGGTAAAGCTCCCTCTCTCACCTTGGCAGCATCATCTGCATCGTCCTCATGCACAGAGCTGGAGGGGGAAGGTGTGGCGGACTTGCTCTCTGGTGGAGATGGGGATCCATGGGTGCCATTGTTGCTGTTCAGACCCAACTGAGCATTGAGTTGTGACTGGTTGATTGTGGTCAGCTGACCTTGAGGAACCATGCCAGGTTGGATCCTGGGTCTATGCGTATCCACCTGAGGGTGGCCACCGTAACGCGAGTCAGAGTTGACCATCTGCTGCATCTGGAAGATTAAAAGAAAACGTTGTTTTAAACAAATATACATAGGTGTTAAAATAACTAAACCAAACAGAAGTGAATCTCAATCAGCAGCATTTGTAGCATGATGTTGATTACCACAAAAATAATTTGAATAAGGAATTTTATTATTTTTTTAATTTAAAAAAAAAAGCTTATGGTGAGGCACTTTGCTTTCAGTGGTCGACTGACCAGACACTATATAATATTATTGCTTATTAAATTAAAGTATTATTACTTATTAAAACTAAGCTCACAAAAATGTTACAATTGAATTCACGAAAGGACTACCTATACACACGAGGATAATACTAATGTAAACTAGCACTAAATGTCTCCATCCATACCTTATGACAGGTTTATATTTTCACCTTCCTGCTGCTGTGAATGCTAGGCTGTATCAGGGTGTATAAAACATTGCTTTTGTACACTGTATCTGGGGGATAAATCACTTCCGACAAGGACAAGCCCTGTAGTGGTAGTCTGTCACCTGATACTGTCTGAAGCAACAGGTGACCTGAAATGTACCCCACGCCCACCATTGTATGCCGCACAATGCCCCCGACAGGTGGAGCTTTGGGGTTAGAGGCCACAGGCATTGCTCTGAAAGACAGGTGACTGTGTCTCCCTCCCCACATAAACACTTCAGACACTCTGAACCCTCAATACACAAAATATACTCGAATTATCTTCTAAAAGACTATTATTGAGTGGTGCTTGTCCTAAAAAAGTCACTGCCATGATATTAGGGTGTTCTGGGTGGTTTTCAATGTTTTTAATTTCAATTAAGTAATTCAAATTGAATAAAGTTTTACATTATATATATTAGTTTATACAGTTTCATTTATATTAATTCAATTATATATTTTATACTATATCTATATGTATAGTTTTATTTTACAGTTTAATAAAAATATATATACTGTATATACAGTTTGATTTTCAGCGAATAGCACAAAAGTTGAAAACATGAAAGTGTTTTTATGTCATGTCATGAAGCATCTGATAAACTATTAATTTCCGAGAATTCAGCATATCCAAACGCAATTGATTTAGTTGCAAAGGACTAATGACGTGACATTAAACAGCAATGGGGAGGAAAATCTCCAATCCATGCGGTTTTAGCGGTTAACTGACTAATCATAAACTGACACTGGTGAAAATGTCAAGTTCTCATGAAATGGCTGGGGGGGGAAATCGCAGTGGAAATCTGTTCAACTTTTTAGTGTTTACCCATTACAATGTTAATGGACAGGAGAAAGTTTCGTTTTTCAGCTAAATGCGTTCACCTTCATATACACACCTCGTTAATACGCTCCGTGTTTCCAATGTTTTACCCCATCCCACTCGATTTCTTGTGAAACATCTGTCTTTTCTTGAGGGGGACTTTTTTCTGCTAGTTAACCCAGACAATACCCACCTTGTGTGGGGTAATAATACAATGTGGTCAGTTTTGGGTAGAAAACACACTTCAACTTGAAAACCACACACGCGATTAAAGGTCACCTTTCTTTTTCATGGTAAAACAAAACTTAGAGGCAGGACACGCTTTCTGACAGAAACTAATAGTGAAATCAAAGACAAATTGTTTAATCATAGTGCAATTTCCCAATGAGAAAAACTTTACGACAAGAGGATCAACATGGCTGCGGAAAAAACCCTCAAATCGAGTTTGTCAGAGTGAGGTTGTGATGGTATTTATCATCTGAGCTCACCATTAATCTCCACCACACAGAGGACAAAGGCTTGCCAGGGATGAATAGAGGTCACGTGACGAGGTCACAGACAAAAGCCCTAAAGGTTGCCTGTTCTGCACTTTTTACGTTTTAAATAACAAATGGCTGCCTGGGCTGGCTGTTTTTTTTTCATCAGATCTACTGACCCGTGCTGCAAGGGAGGTCATACTCATCTGATATCAATTTCCTTTAAATCACAGGGCAAATTGTAATCACACGTACAGTATGAGACTATTTGCATGCTTATCTTCCTATAGTGCACGACAGAGACGTATGAAAGGGACGCGAGAACCCCAGCTTTCCATGGAGTCCAATGACATTTTAAAGGGAGGAAAATAATGTCTACTTTACTCCGGCTGTCACTTCAGGGGCACTTTCATGTCCTTCTGTTTCCATTAAAAAGGTATAAATAGCTTAAGTGCTGGACTAGATCAGAGCCAATTGTTTGCTCTGGGTAATAAAACCACAGCCCAATGATAAGGACTTTTTCAGGCAGAGTAATGAGGGTGTATTTCATGTCCTTGTGTTACTGTAGATCTTTATAAGCTAAAGCACACACTGGCTTTTTGTTTACCCTTTCGATCGTTCGAATGAATTTGAAATATATTCTGGCATAATCTTAGCTATTCATTTATTTCCTCTCAAGTTAATCCACTTCAGAATCGCTGTTATTTTTTATTAGTAATAATAGCTTGTCACAGTCTACACGATGGAAAACACCCAATATTTATGACATGCAGGAGTACATATGAGAAGTGAGGTAATTTGGAGTATAAAAGCTTAAAGCCGTATTACGCCATCTGTCATTTGGACATGCCAGTGTTTAATTGCTTTCGCTTGAATTTTACACAACCGCATGCAAATACCTGTCTCTTATTAAACTTCACTGTAAATGATCTATGCAAAAGCAGTCTAATAGAAGTAGCTTGTCACGCTGCACTTTCAAGGTCTCGAATGTTTTGCAGTGCACAGCAAAGAGCTGCAAACTGTAGGCTTTGCTGCAAATTTGCAATAAATGGAGATTTATGTCCATTACTGTTCCTTTTTTTTTATTTAGGCCACTGCTGGATGAGGATTTAGTGGCTTTTGCGCTGATGATGGACGATCTCGAAGCTTTTTACCGCTCACGCCCCTCTCTCTCTCTCTCCTCCGCTGTCAGCTCTGTTTAGATTTGCACATTTTACACACATCAACTTGTGATTATTTAAGCGGACATGTGGCTTTCTGGAAAGCAAACTTCACCTGGGCATTTCCAATAAATTCGTCGCGTTTCATGCGAATCACCGAGCTCATCAGAACGGCCCGATGAGATCTCATCTCTCACATTGTATGTTTAAAAAGAAGCCTTCCTCGTTTCTCGGGACTAGGGGATCCATTTAGCTATTCTCTGGCATTTACTTTCATTCTTTTTAATGGAACGAGGGGGAGGGATAGTGAAACCTTATGAGATAATTTTCCTTTTAATCTAATAGTTTTTAAGGTGAAGCACATTTCACTCAACTATCTCTGCTGGCTAAACAATGCAAGCTCTGAGACCTATACAATGAATGCAAAATGTGAGAGGCACATAAATGCACTCTCTGTTCCACCAGAGAAGGCAGCTCCAACAGGCTAATGCTGAGAGAAAATTAATTCCATCAGCTAGCTCTTTCATTCTCCACTGCAGCTACAAGCTCTCTGTCCCGTTGCCTGGCAACCATAATTCATAGCCGCTCTAAATGGATGTTCACCAAGCACTGAGAACATTAAGGTGAAAAGAACAAATGCCTTTGTGAATCTCAATATCTTTCAGTGTGCATGTCACTCTGTGTTTTTTTTAGCCACCCATGTGTATGTTATTCTTTAAAAATCTATTTGATGTAAGTTTAAGAGGGGCACTACGGAGGTGCATTTTCACGAAAAGAGTAACAAAGGAATCGAAAATATTGGTCGTACCATTTTTCTCTCTTTCGGCAGTTGTAATTTCGCCTTCATGTGCTCATTTCCGATAAATCATTTGTGCGAATATCAAATAGATAAAGGTCAAGATAATTTTTTTTTTTTTTAAATGCACAAAAACATGGCTCAATATTTAGGTTTGGCCCCCAAACATGAAGTATGTGGAAAACAATAGGTGAGAGATGATGAAGAGGAGAAGTTTCAGTTTGACTCGAGCGTCAGATTAGCAGCACATCTTCAACCACAGTTAGTCACAGCTCACCAACACTTCATATGTGTCATAATAACATTATGAGGTTTCTTGTACTTAACCAAAATTTAAGGTTTGGGTTTCATTTCTGCAGAAGTGGTAGCGATTTGTAGATGTCTGTAATTAATATCAATATAATATAAGAAAAAGACAAGAGAAGCGTGAGGTGAAAAAATAAGTTAGCAAACCAAATAAAATAATTTTAATATGTAATTATCTTTAGATCAAATATTAAATCTAATATAATAATCTAAATATAAATAATGTCATGCACGGATACTCTAATGATGAATTATTATATTGTAATAACCATATACTTCTGATTTTTTTTTTTCTAAGATTCAAAAGTTTATTTTTTAAAATCTACAGTTTCTGAATGTACTGTACAACTATCTAGTACAGCTACATGGCAAGCAGAATGCATTAGGAGGAGTGCCTTGATGCTAAATTATATTTAATTAACTTAATCCAACGGGGAATTTGGCATTGTTTCACTGTGCGTTAAATCACATTAGCTCTCATTTGCTGGGTGCTATCTCAATCATTCTATATGCCGCTCCAACCTCTTATAATCTCTGTTGAGGTGTTTCATTGGTGTCAATTAAATCATTGTTTGGGCACTGAAACGACTTTGCTGTTGCATAATTCTGTCATGCGAAATGCATTAGTGACATCTCAAAGGAGAGCATGTGCATCTTACAATGAAATTTCCTCCATACACAGAGAAACAGTATTTTTGGTACCTTTCCATACTATATTATATGGATGCACATTTCCACCTCAGAGTACAAAAAATGTAAATAGGTAACTGCAACTGCTTTTTCTTGATGCAAAAACCTCTATGTTCGTCTGACATTTTTCTGACATTTTCTTTTAAATGAGCATATTTATGGTTTCAATTTTACTCTATCAGTGGCATTTTAGAAAATACCTAAACATAGGAGCCTGATAAAAATGCTCATTTAAAAGAAAAATGCCAGATGGACTTTTGCATCTGAAGTATATATATATATATATATATATATATATATAAAATTGCTTTTGTGACATATATACACTTTGTTTCTCATAATTTCATCTTTATAAATGACAATGTGATTTATCTCAAAACAAAATGTCACTTTATAACAATATGACTTTATACGTTGCAATGCGATTTTAAATCATGCAATTGTGACTTTATTTCTCATAATTTTGGCTTTGTATCTCACAGTATGACTACTACTTTTAAACTGTATCCATGAATTACCCCTTTAGGCAGAAACGGACTTGCCTCCGGCCTTAGACAGAGAGCACCAGTACTCACCACTGAGAGGGAGTTGGTGAGCAGACTGCCATCTTGACCCAACATGTTGGGGACCGACATCCCGGACAGGTCCATTCCTTGCAGGTGAAAGGGGTGCAGTCCGTTCTGGGAGACAGGGGGGCAAAGGTGATGGTACGTTCCGGACTCAGACTCAGGCAAGTGTGCCAGCATGTGTTCGGGGAGGGTGGGGGGAGTGATAGGCGGGATGTTGAAGTCTTCGTCCCCAAGACTGGGCACTGGGTAGGACTGCTGGAATGAACAAAGGTTACGTGTCCTGTCAGAACACTGATTGGCTGATTACAAAATCACAATCTTATTCAAAAGATGATTCTGACTGGTCATTAGTGATGATGTATACAATGCATTTTTCATGGTAAATACAAAAGAACCTGATAAAGGAGGTATCACATTTGAAATCTCCCAACATAAAAATGACATTGTAACTTTAAAATGGAAAAGCGAGTGAATAGATGGTGAAGTGCAATGAGCATTCTTGTCAGAGAGTCTCCAAAGGCAGCATGAAAAGGCTTTCCAAACAGTTAGTTTGAAATACTGCACAACAGGGGGTCACCCGTAGGCTAGAACAAGGACAGACTGTCCATTTGATACTTATAAATAAGAGAATGAAATGGGTTACAGCAAGAACAGAAAAATCTTGTTGAAAACCAACATTCTTTGATGTTCTATATTCTGCCACTGAAGCGATCCTGCTATGGCAATGATTCACGCTGTATCAATAACAGAAAAAAGACTAATCACAACTATATACGCAGCAAATCAAATGCTGAATAAAGTACATCAAAGTGCACTGCACATTACAGTGATTCATTCATACTATTTGAGCCTTTGAGGAAGTAAAATTATATGCAAATGGTCAATCAATCTCATTAGACTATAACAAAAGGCTGTTTTTATGAGGCTGAACAGTCACTTGCGCTTGGCTGTGAAGTTTGATTTGGCTGCCTTAAAACAGCCCGTCCTGCACGCTGCCTCCTCCAGCCCCTGTCAGTTTAGACTGTGATGAAAAAGATGTAAAGCAGATAAGGAGATGAAAGGCTGTACAAATCCAAGCAAAATCATAAATTATTCGGTAAACACTCCCTTGGAGTAAAATACTGTAGAAAAAATATATACAGTTATCAGAAGGCATAGTGATGAAGTTTATCATCGGTACCAAAGGCAAGTCGGAAAACACATCGTGTCGAACACTTCACGAAACGCTAACCGTAAATATGCCTCAGCCTCTGATTCGACTCGAAATGACTCAAATGATCCCTCTCTCTCTCTCTTTTTTTTTACCTTGAAAGGGGCTTCTCTTTTCTGCTGCTTTATTATCTCTAATACATAGCTTTTATTTGCAGCAAACTAAATGAACCTGTCAGACAGCCAACTACAGGCAATTAGGTATGAAATTGGTTCCAAATTCAAACTCAACTCAAATAACGGTCCAACTGTTACTTTTAAGGATTGCAATAATCGTTTTAATGAGCTTCCTACTTCTGCCTCTAAAAGCCAATGTATCATGCTCATTTGCATATTTGATTGTGTTGTGCCTCACAGATGTCTGCGTTTGTTTGCGGGAAATATGCTGGCATAATTCATACAGTAAGGCCCTTAGAGGAATGATTTGACTGCCAAATTAAAAAAAATAAATCACATAGAACAAGATGACTGTTTGCAGTGGCTTGCATTGCTGTTGATACATGCGAGTAATGTACTTATTTGTGTAATTATTGTCGAAAGAAGAAAAATAAATAATTATTTTCAGGTAAAAAAAATATATAAATAAATAAGAGCAGGAACGGATAACAGTTTTGTCGGCTCGAGTCGAGGTGCGATTGTTTATGTGTTCTAACGGTACGTGAAGTTTCTTGGTATCCTGTCTTTCTTTTTTTACACTTTTCTTTTTTTGTGACACTGAGGTGCGTAAACAGGCAGCCAAGAAAGAGAACACAGGAAATAAATAACCCTGTGCTGTGGTGTGTGGCTCTGAAAAAAAGTGAAATGCACAAAAATTAAGAGACATTGCAAACATTTCCTACATCTGTGTGTTTTTGTTGTGAAAAAGAAGACGTTAGATGAGGCCGCGCGTACAAACATATCAAAACATGGTGTCATCTGATGCTGATCTACTTATTGAACTGGAAACTGCAAAGAAGTTCCAGCTAATCAAAATAAATTCTTTTCTGAAGCAATATGTGCTACGAGTAAGTTCATTTTTTCAATTCCGACATCCTTCATTTTTCAATCTGTAGTCATGTTGCTGGTAATTGAAATATTTTTGTATCATCTGATGAAACCTGAATCAGATCATTCGAAATGAACTAAATTAACTTTTTAAATTCTGAGTCAGGATTGTGGGAAATTACCCGCACAATGTCTGTACTTTCAGTTCAGTGTTTACTTAGTATTCATAATTCAGTTACATTCAGATCGCTACGTGTAATTTTAACATAATTTAGGTGTGCGGTTTTCCTCTAAAAGGCTATCTTTCATTTATCAATAAATGGAACATAGAAGAAAAACGACAATTTCTGTGTAAATGAGGACTTTGGATGACACATAGTTTCCCAACAACCCTCATTCGCATTACATGCAAAGGAGGGGAAGGAGAAGAAAATGACAAGTTTTGAGATCCACAACGTGCAAGTCCTTGTCCATTTCGTGTGACATCATTTCGACTGGACAACAAATCTCTCGGGGAGGTGATTGCCTGTCAAATAGCACAAGGGTAATGGGACTGGTGGGAGATGAATGGCAAATGAGCAAGAGAGTCATTTAAATCTACTATCAATTACTGATGATGGTCATGATGGCTGTATGGAATCATTGTCTATGGGCGACTTCACAGCCAGCAGTCAATCAAAGCTTCACAGCGGAGGGGGAAAGTGGAATAAACTGGGGGAATAGTCATGTATCTGATGCCGTTTACACTGACAATAAGGAAAGAAAGGAGAGAGAGCTCTTGTGTTTTTAACAGTGTAGTGAATGAGTGGCAGAAATGCTTCACCAGCAGAAATTACGCATTATATTACTGCAGCCTCACAATGGAGATGTGAATTGTTTATAAGCCTTCCATCTTGACAGGCGTAAATCAGCTCGTCATTATGAAAGAAGAGCATGTGTACTGAGATATGAGGTGGATGAGAAAAAGTGCATTTTGAGATAAGATATACGCTCCATCATTATGCCACAAAATGCATTAAAACAAATTTAGGACATGTTTTTTGACGATTTAGAAGGATGGGTGAGACTGAGGCTAGTTTTTTAACTGGGGAAGCTGTATTCCAGTTCTTAAATCAAGTGTTTTTTATCTCTAGCTGTGGTTTTGTATGTTGTTTTCAAACCCCTAACCACTTCAATTTTGAATAATATTTTTTTTTAGAATTTTAGTAATAATAAAATACATTTATAAAGATCATAAATGATATGAAAAAGAACAAAAACATTTTAAATAAATGTAGAAAAATAAATGCATTCTTGTTTTTTGGTTAATATTATTATTCTTAATAATAAAATTTATTTTTTATTATTCATTTTTGTGAATTTTATCTTCTCAAATTGTACTCTGGTAAGTTGTCACATGTTGCCATTTGAAACATTTTATATCAGCACAAGATTCAATGATTGTTTTGTGTTTCAAAATTGTTTTAATGATTTTAACAGTACTTCCTATAATTGACAGTGGCATTTTCATTGTGACAATTTACCCCATAAAATGTGACAATATTCCCCAGTATTTGTGCAAAAATATCAATGAGTATTAAATGAACTATGTCTTTTTTCCTAGGCATTTATCCCATAACTGCATAAATGTGAAAATGCACTTTCCAAACTTAAATGGTTGTAATTCATAAATGACACTCAGCAGATTATTGCACTTCAAAAAAATAAAGTGTAAAAAAGTTATAGAAGTTTAAGTTATACTGTATGAAACAAATGTCCGGTACTAAACATTTTGTATTTGATACAAAACATATATTTTACAAAATACTTTTTACTCTAAAATTGCTATAAAATCAAAGCCATATGTCTAACCAAGTTGTGTTCCAAATTTGAAGTTGATATCACAAAAATGTAAGTTCCCAAAGATTTTAAGGTGCTATACCAAAAATAGCATGTACGAGATCCGAATGCACTGACATAAGAAGCCTGCTTTAGGCCAATCATAAAGTTCTTATTGAGATTGATTACTCCGCGGCACTTACAGTAAGCACCGCTGCTTTTTAATATTTTTCTATGTAACTATGTGCTAGATGGACATCTTTGACCGTTGCGCCATGTCTCGCAGCTCGAGCCTTCTTTTTCATTCATTAGCACTGCGGCTCAGCAAAAACGCGTTTTGTGTGATCATCCCCTTATGCCTGTCAAAAATAATGCTGTCAAATTGAGCAGATAGTGAAACGAAAGCGCTTCTCCTCATGCGGGCTAATGAAGACAACGGCGCAGAGTTTAAAGATAATTTTCCGATGACTGACATCACAGAATTTATCGGTATTTTGGTGCTGATGTGTGAATGGTCTCTTAACGGTAAAAAGCCAGAACGCCGTTGCTTGTGTGAACAGCATTTTTGTGTCGTTCTAGTCATTTTATGGTAATTTACTGTGTGAAAGGGGCATTAGGTGCAACTTTTCAAAAGGTTTTTTTTTCTGGGCAACACTTTAAGGTATTTGCCTTTCGCAGAAACAAAACTACTCTATTTAAATGATCACTCCAGGATTGGCTGTGGATCATTACCCAGAGCTCCATGTGGCACGAGGAGCGCTCCAACATGTTGTCATGCCCTTCCACCAATTAAATTGCCAAAGAACAGCAAACGGAAAAGTAAACAACGATAACCTGCGCCTGCAGATGAGGCGGCTTTTTTATAATGTAATTTTGAATAATGAAGATGTCAGGTTAAATGGTACAGTAGTTAAACTTAATAAGTTGCCCTGTTTTTTTTCCCAATCGCCTTTTCATTTGCCATCTAGTCTGGGATTGTGTGAGAGAGGCAACGAAAGCAATTCAGCCTGTAATGAATACCTCTGGGACCCAGGGGCAGTGATCATTTGAATGCAACATTCTTTGGCCGGGCCCCCAAAACAACCTCGGACTCGCTGAGCTGCCGATTACTGTTGAGAGCTTCTGGATAAATGCAGAAGGGCTTGTCTGTCTTGTGCTAGCATCAAGGTCAAGCATTTTGGAGGAGGTTTCTACTTTGTTTAATGGAGAGCGTGTGAAGCCTCGTCTGACCCGAGCTGCGGCATCACACCCCACCGGCGTGTCTTATAACCCGAATGGGATCAAAGCATACAGGCATGGTCCACGAGCGACCACTCCCTGTCCGGCACGCTGCATCAGTGCCTTTGAGCAGCTTAAAGCTCATGCATGCATGAATATGCAATTCATGAATATCTCTGAATAATGCATGTTATGAGAAATACAATGCTGGAATTATTTGACCGATTATTTAAGATATACTACTGTTGAAATATTTAATAAATATGTTGTATAGGAACATTACTTTGGCACAAGAGAACATTTCTGGAAAAAAAACACATGTAAGAACGGGCCTCTTCATTCCCAGGAGAGAGCACAAGGTTAGTTTATGCATGTTTAAAAAGCACAGCTTTCTCCTGGTCCCCCAAGAGCTCTGCAACATCTGGGGGGAGGGGGGTGGGGGATGGATACGAGCAACTCTATATAAACCCACACAGAAATCTGACAACCCCCCTCATCAGAGACTATATACATGTCAAACCACTGCGGCGGGCAAATACATTCTGTGCAAGAAACAAACAAATAACATATCGTACACATATATGCCGCTCTTATAGTTAGGGATAGTATTAACATCAAATACACTTCCTGAATGCAGCATTGCATCTTCTATAACAAAGATAAGACAATTTCACCCAACCAAATGTGATTGTTAAACACTTATTATCAGGTTTAAACAAAAACCAAGAGTTGTTAAGCGAACATTGCTCGCTCTCCGAGTCAAAGCGAGCGCTTTCACAAGTAGTGTCTTTGAGCGTAGTCCAGAAATATGAGAAGTGTGTATATTTTTAGTGTTCGCTGAGTGTATGCTGTAGTCGGCTTTATCTAGCATCGCTGGCACACGCTACTTCATCTTGCTGCTGCATTTAAAATAAATAAACGGTGATACAGAGCGCTTGTGGGCTGACATGCGCTCAACACTCCGCCATTTTGGGCTAATAAATGTGGCTTTTATTTAATGGCCAAGAAACACATGGTTTGGGGTTGGAAGAAGGGGGAATGAGAGGAGATTGTAAGATAGGAGAGAACCTGTGTGCAGACAGACAGACTGGCCTATGAATGCTCTATGTATTTTAACATTTCATTGATTCAGTTTATTTTTTTTCTTCTGGGCTGTTATTATTGTTATGTCTCTCAGAGAGGAACGGATCTCCACGTGCAGAGATGCTCAGATGGATAACAGTATCACATTTTGTCACTTCAAGCAGCTACGAGGCTTTCAAAAGTGTTGTCAGTCAGTGGGAATGTTTTGGTGGCAAAAAGGCAGGCAGATTTCAAAGAGATTAACAGAAGTTTTTAAATGTCATTTTAACACATGCCTGTTTCCTTTATAAAAAAAGTCCCTCTCATCACCAGCTCTGTTCTCAAGTTACAATTCCAACAACTAAATCTTTTACATGATGTAAAGCCAATATTCTCAAAAAGACATGCTTATTGGAATGTACCTTATAATATAATATAATATTTATAATGTTTTTTAATATTTATCATTATTATTTATATTATTACACCATGTAGTTGTTGAGAACATGCCTCGCTATAGCATGATGAACTGTATCTTTTTCTAGGCAATATCAAGCTTTTTTTTGTAACCGAGACTTTAAGGTGTATGTGTCAATACAGAAACTGAATTAAAAATGACAACTAGCCCCCTCCCCATAGCCTAATATTTAAAAAGAAGAACAAAAAGGTAATCAGTTTATTTGTCTATACATTCCATTTTGTATATGTTTGATCTAGACCAGTTTTTGCTTGCTCCACTACACAAATTTTGGCTCTATTTCGTAAGAGCAAAATAGCTTTAAAGTTCATTACGAGATCTGAAGGTTCCCCCACCTCCAAAATTCCAATTTAACCCCTGCAAATGTGATCAGTGATGCCTTGCAATTCCAACTGAAGAGATGTGAAGGGCCACCTCTAGTTTCAGTATCTATGCACATAAATTACATCTTTAACGGTACACTCAACATCATTGATCTCAACCAATCGCTCTGAGGACCGGCTTATGAATGTAACAGCGTTGTTCATACCAGTGCACAGACCACGGCAGCATTTAGATCTTTAAAATCAACCTAAAAATTAACAGATCAAACCAAAAGTACTTCAGCAACCATTCATTTAAAAACCATGATCCTTACACTTGGCCTTGGCCGCTTTCCAGGTTGCCTTTGTTTCGTATTATAGAGCAGATTAAAAGACGCAATTGCAGTACATGTTTTGCCTTCAGCGCTGGAGCTGTGGATGCTTTTCAGCTTCAGTTTTAGCTTCCTGAGTGCGAAGTTTAAAATAGGCACAGGGGTACACTTCTCTTTAATTCGGTTAATGTGTGTTTAAAAGCAGGAGAAAGCTTTGTGGCTACGTACCACACACCAAGGTCAAGGTGAATTCAACTGTTGTTGCCAATAAAAGTAATTACCTGTTCCCAACAGAGGTAAAGAGAGAAGTTGAGAAAGAGAGAGAGGGTGAGAGATGCAAGGAAGCACGAAAACAGCAGAAAATAGAGACCGCCGCTCATAAGCAAAAGGAAGTAATATCTACAAAGGGAGTTTTAAGATTCAAAGGGAAACATAAAAGTAGTGCTAGACTCAAAGCAGCTCTAAGATTACAGCAATCCTATTCACACATGTGAAATCAATGTGGAGCTCAATGGCAAATAAAAGTGTGATCTACACAACAATGGAGTGCAGGATGCAGGGACAGACATCGTCTAAAAACGGTATAAAGTACAATGGACCCTTTTTCACAGACTTTGATATATTTTCCACTTTAATTTAGCAGGTTAGCTTCTCTCTCTCTCTCTCTTAATGTACATAATTTCATGTAAAGTTAAAATAGAAGGACCATTTTGTGTCATATAACTCTGGAATTAAAAGAAGACAAATCTAGGTAACCAGAAGGTACTGCTGCAAAGGAGTTTAAGGCGTCGCTTCACAACATTCTCTAAATTAGCATTAGCGACCAGAATAACTGATAACATTTCAATTGTGAAAAAGATGTGTACAAATTAATTTAGAAGCTATATCTCTTCAGTTAGTTATTAGTAGCTAGCTAGTTTCATTTTCATGTTTTGTAAGAAATTCTGATACGCTAATATGCCATGTTACACTACAGCGCCTTCACAGACGGTTTCAAATACAGCTGCTGAGGAAGTGACAGCAAATTGTTGTAATTATCTCTCTATTCATTTATTAATATTCATTTTCTTTTTATTAACTCTTTTAGAAAGTCAAAAAACTTAAGAGATTTATTAAATTTACTGTTTTTGGTCGATAATTGATATTTACTTGTGCTGCTAATTTCCTCTATTTTTACATTACATTAACTGTCCCTTGCTTCATCTAACGCTCACTTAAATTAATCTTTAAAAACTCTAAGAATTTAATAAAACTGTTAAATGTAATCTGTAGCAAATCTCAAAATTAATATTTATTTTTCATACTGTACATAATGTTGTGATGCCTAACATCACTTGAAGCCTTTAAAGACCCACTCCGATGAAAATAATGTTTTTCTAGGTGTTAACATGTTCTTGTGGCATTTTTCTGATGTTAGAGGACATATCTTGAGAAAAATCAGCTCAAAGTTGTATTTCTGAGTATTTCTACATTCAAAGGGCTGTGAATCAGTAAGTTAGCAGACGCTAAAATGCCGGCTAAAATCGACTGGAGTTGTGACGTAGTAACTCCACTGGGCGTCTCCACACGCGACGTCTTGGAGTGAAATAATGATCGGTGACGGTGATAACTTTGATTAACTTCGGATAATAATAATTAACGTGTATATAATACTGTTGCCCCACCGGTATTGGGGGTGTAAGCTAGCGGGAGAGACAGAGCTCTCAGCAACGGGCAGGGGGAGGGGCGTCTCCGTGCCAACGGCTCCGCCCACAACGCAGAGGCGAATTGCTAATGAGCTGCTGCCGCTCTGCTGAAGCGAAGTCCCAGAAAACGGCACAGGTTTTGTGATTTTGGCTAAAAATGGCATAATCATAATTTAAAGACCACTGGGAATGTTTAAAAATAGCTAAAAATATGATCGGAGTGGGACTTTAAAATGATTGATTTTAATTGAAAGTGTTTTATTTTTAAAAGACTTATACAAAGTAGTATTTTTCTAGTGCATAAATAATCATCAGCCACTTCCGTTTTCCAAACCCGTAAATGTAAAAATGGTCAATATGGATGAGACACACACAGTACGTAACACACACACAAATCGTCAGTTGATGTTATTTTGATTGGCGTCTGGTTGGCGTTGGTGTGGAGTTATTTACCCATGTCAGACGGTGGCCGTCCGTGTGTGTAGGGGTCTCTCTTTTCCAGTGGCCGCCGGCCTGTTTGTTGCTGTGCTGCGTCTGGCTGGGACTGGCAGGTACGCGGAACTACAGTGGGATGCAAGGCCAAGGGGTCAACCGACACAGCAGGGTGACAAGAAACATGCACATGCAAGACTCATCACACCTTTCAGCTTTCATCACTCTTCAATCCATTTTTTTTGGCTCTGTGTTCTTTAGATTCTCAATGCATCTTTCATCTCCACCCACATTAAAGCTGTAGCAAACATGCAGCGTGAGCACCTTAAACACAGTGACCAGGGATGCACAATGCAGACAATGCACATTTTAAACCAATTTCAGGCTATATGGCTCAATAGGACCGTATGCAGCTTTTCGTGTTTAAAGAAGTAACTCTGAAACAAACAAGTGACCTGTAATTTAGTGCACTTTCCTTTACATTCTCCTGAATGCATTTGCTACAGTGTGCTGAATAATTCATGAGTCAAATATCATTTATTTATTTTTCCTCTTTCTATTGAGAGCCATAACACTACTGGGCTTAGTCTCTACAGCCTACAGCAGGTTAGACTGTAATTCCCACTAATTCTCTAGATCACAATGTATTGTGAATGCTTATTGAAGAGCTTTTAGGGCTCACATCAGATATATCATGTGCTGAACATGAACATGACTTTTCAAGCACAAAGCAAAGCATGTAACCTCAACATAACATCATAATTAGGCAAGTCAGTGGAAGCCAACTATTAGCATTTAGTTTCAGTTGACTATTAACTAATATATTTGTCCACTGATATTAGATTACACTGAATAGTTTCTTTAAAAAAAAACAGTAACACTAATTTGCTGTTAAATTAAATTATATTATATATTGTAGTTGAAATAATTGTCCTAACTAGGTCAGTTGATTGACCATCATGCCCATCATATTTGACCATCATTTTTTTTGTTATTGCACAAAGAGCTACAACTTTGTCAAACTGCAAGCGAATGCGTTCATGATTAAGTTTAAATATACAATTTTCGACATGTGTGAGAAAGGTGTGAATTGCACCTTCACACATTTCAGGAGAACAGAGACCTGTTAAACGTTACTTATGTCAAACTAAAAGACAGAAGATGTTTTGAGCAGGTTGCCAAACCATATGGACAGTTTTTTCTAAAAACGTGTTTCATTATTAAATTTACTTTATCAAATGGAATAATTATTCATAACACTTTTTTAACTTGTAATGAGAAAAACACAAGTGAGATGGGGAGGGAGGGAGGGAGGGAGTTATTTTAGAGCGGGAGCTATTGCACATTACATTCTACATGTCTTACATTAAAGGCCAAACTCTGTGATCCACAAACAGATTGAATTCAGCGCTTTCATTGTGTTTACTGCGTCGAGGCGCTTTGCAGAAAAGTTGTTTTAACCTTGAGTATTATTCTACGTCCCATTGTGTATAGTGTTCGAAGTTTGAAATGTCAAAATGTAGCTTGCTCAAATTTAATAGAATGCAAGCACAGTTCAGATCAATGCGTCTATAAAAACAGGCCAAACCCAAACAGCTCGTGACAAAAGCAGGAAGGAAATGTTTTAATAGAGTAGCAGCATCATACATTGCCTGCTGCTGGCTGATAAAACTAGCAGGGGGAAAAAATCCTAAAGTTCGACTCTAAACGTACTATTTTGCACGTGCACACATGATCAGTCCATCTACAGTGCATCGCATTCACATTCACTTCCCTACAGCAGAATGTGGCAGGTGTGCTAAGGGGCGCTAATTAACCTGTAGCCTTAATTCATTAGGCAAACGTGTAGAAGGTCCCGTAAGACAACCTGCACTCCTCATGTTCACCCTTGACCTTAATGCACCGAACTGCATGTTTTAGTTTTAAAAATTAATCAAGCTGTGCTTTTTATAACAAGATGTGCTGAACTATCTAGTCGGCAAAGCTCGAGTCACTGATGAAACGGCCTTTTATCTCGGTTCTTCGAACAAGTGCAAGTATCCTGAAATAAACTTCCCTTTCGATGAGTAACTAGAGGAGAATTGCACTGAAGCGCTGCAGTCTGCCTTCTATAAACCCACGGCCTTGTGTGGAGTCCATACTGTGTGTCGTTTTTAATGAAAGTGTAAATGGAGGAAATGAAAGCCTGCGACAATATGCATTAAAGCTTCATTTCATTAAGCTTTAAATGCTTTGTTTACATGTTATAATAGCCCCTGATTATGGTGGCGACTGATAGTGGCTCTAATTTGTGATGCGCCGGCTTAAATTTGTTTAATTACGACTTAAAACAAAAGGAGTGAGCAGTAATTAACCCACCTGGTTCCCTGGCACAAAGTCCTGGCTGGGCTCTGGCATACTCATGAACATGTTTTCACTGTCGTACTGCAAACAGAAAGAGAGAGAGGAAAATACAATAAATAAACAGTCAGAAATGTTAGCTTGACACATAATATGAGCCACAGAACATGCGGTTGGTATTTCTGCGCAGTGCTTTCTTCCCAAAACGCAGGGCTCATAGACAATTAGTCTTTGAAGTCCCTGCCGTATCAGATGGAGATGTCAGTGATTTGATGTAATTAGTACAGTGGTAATTAAAGTTGCTGGTTGAGGGGGATGAATGAAATGCTTTCATGTGTGCAGTGGAATAAAACAGAGGGAGTTTGATGAGCCCACACAAGGATAGACCTGAGCCTGTAGGAAGGGTACAGGTGTCTCACCGCAGATATAAACGTACAAAAACCTGTTAAATTTACAGTTTGACTTATTATACCATCAACGGACCGATTAATACAATATCAAAATGTAAGACTATGTAATAGTCTATGAAATGTAAAAAAAAAAAAAAAAAATTACACTAAGGTTTTAGAATTGGCTTTCCACAATTAGGATAAAATGAATTTGGTAATTTCTACACCACTGGCAGCACCAAATTAGAGTTATTAATTTTGCAATTCTTATGCTGCCATTGGCACAGAAAATACATGCTTCACCTTTACAGTCAACGTGAAATAAAAATTGACAATATTACTTCCTTAATTTATGTTCCTGGTCTTATTGTGTATGATTCAATGGTGCATATTATTCCAAACGGAAGAAAAGTTAATCTGTTTTTAAAAAAAAGTTAATCTTGTAGCCTATTTAAAAAAAAAATATATATATATATATATATATTATATATTTAAATTATATTATATTTTGTAATATTAATATTATTAAATATAATTGTAAAATATTAAATATAAATTGAACAAAATGAAGTCAAGTCACCTTTATTTATATATCACTTTATACAATACAGATTGTTTCAAAGCAAATGCTCCGCCTCTGAACCAACTCGCCTTTTTTGGCTGACGTCATGTATTCCCTCATACTTTTTCAACCCCTTGATTCCAACAATCCGGCTCTATTCTGGCACGTAATCTGCACGTCGATTTATTCCAGATGGATGAAATCAAGCCTTTTTTGCTCATTAAATTTCACTCAGAAATATGTCAGATTATAGAAGTAAAATGAGTTGCACATGCATGGCATTTCATGTTGACTTTAAAGTTCTAAAAATTTTTGTTTTTTCTTGAGATTTAATAAGAAAACTTTTTGAAACCAGAACTGGTAATGAATCTTCTATACCTCCATGACAAACAGCAATCAGTCAGTTCAGCCACAGTGTCTTTTACAGTACACATGCAGCTTGTGCATTCACCTGCTGAAGATGCTCAAAACAGCTTCAGCTGAGTCAGTGCAGGTTAAATGTGTGATGAAGGAGAATGAGCCCGTGACCCAGCTGTGCAGCACACCTGGGAAATTACAGGAGCCCACACTGGCTGCCTGCTACAGTCCACTCAGCAACACACACTTGCACACACAGATTCTGCTGACAGGCCTTCCTGACAAATACACGCCAATTTACATCTGCTCCTTCTTTAAAACCCATGAAAAATGACTGATTAACATCAAAAGCAGAAATCAGATATGTTTTAAGTTGGCTGTGAGGAAATGGCGTTCTCAGCAAAAGGTCCCGACAGCGTTGTCATTAACACAGATCCATGACACGTATTTGAGTGTTACGAACGAATGAGAGAGGGCGTCACGAAGAAGAGGAGATTGAGTGAGAGAGGAAACTCATGGATGATGCCTGTCACTGGCTGAATGTTTATATTTCTGTTCATCCAAGCAGCACATCTCATTTCATTATGCCTGCTCGAGATAATTCTATGGAAATGAAATGGCAATAATCCTAATGAAAGCCTATCACATTGCGACCTTTTAAGTGTGTGAGTTGATGGGCTGATCTGATTGGTTTTTGCACACGGATGACAGTTAATTTCATGCTAGCTTATTAATTGTGATTAATGTGATCAGGCTGATCTAAGATTTGGCTATTCTTAAACTATGAAATCAGCTGTTTTTAAAACAACATACAAGATAGTCATGAGTGTACCAAAATCAATGTTGAAAAAGCATCTAATCTTTCAGCTATGCTGCAGTTATTGCAGTTAGACACGTGCTCTGTTACAAAACCTAGGAGCTGCCTTTCTGTTTACTTACACAGGCAGCAGCTTAATTGAAATTGGACCTAGTAAGCTGCCTTTATAGACAGCCAGTTATTTATAACAGAAGATATCCATTTTTATAAAGATTCTCTCTGGTTTCTCACTGTTATGACCTTTAACATGGCTCTCTCAGTGTCTGTGCGCTGTTCTATCTACTTAGCTCTTACCCTATCAGACACTATTTGCATATGAATGTGCCAGTGGAAAGTGTGAGGTGGCCTTAGCTGAAAAAGTATAACCTCAGAGCTAAACACATCAAACTGACACCAAATCCATCCAGCAACAGTTGGCCAACACCCTCCCTCAACTATACGCCGACTGCACTTTAGAAGCAAACCGGCAATGTGCGAACTCCATTTTGCAAGCTGTACAGGCCGATTATGACTGAGGTTTTCCTTGATTCGTGCAAACTAGCATTTCTCAATCTTGTGGCAAGCAGGGAGCCATTTTGTGTCATTGTAGCTTTTCTTTCAGAGCCTGAGGTGCCATTACATGACCAATAAAACCACACCAAGTGCAGATTGCCATTCTAAAATCCTACAGCTCAACTGCAGGCACTACACAAATTATTGCATTATTAGCAAAAAAACACCACAAGAGTCTATTATCAAACTGCAGGGCCGCAGGCATCAGCTACATCCTAAAATAAACAAGTTTTAGTGTGAAAAGCAAGAAAGTATCTGTGCGAGCACTGCAGGTCAACAAACAACTACAATGTGCGTTCAGCAGCTGCCGCGCTGATGCAAATGAGGTATCAAATAACAAAAACAACAAAAACAAAACAGGGCCTAATGGCTGTGGGACTGTAAATCGATCCCTTCCACACTCCGCCCCAAGCGTCTGGCAGCTTCATAGAAAGCTTAGGTAAAAGAAATTGATCCCAACTGACATGACCACATGCTAACAAATTCCTCATTATGATTAATATGAAGTGTTCCTTAGGGGAAGGAGGGTAATGACATGCTAGTGTTCTCCCAGAATAATATTAGAAAGTCTGTGGCAACACTTATTAGCTCTGTAATTAAACTGTTCATCCTTAAATGACTCCCCTGGTTCAGAACGATGAGGCCTACGGGCCAAAGTGTGTGTGTGTGGGGGACTGAACTGTGGCCAGGGATGTGTTCATTCGCTAATGCCCGTATTTATCTTACAAGGGGTTTTCTGTTAATTCATTCTAATTAGTGTCACTGGAGGGTCTCGGAGTTGACTGTCAATCAGAACGAGGTGTTTAAGAGAGCTGTATTTGATTCCGACCGATTCGACGCTAGCTTCAAAATTTCCTCAATTAGCGTGTGTGAATAGGGCCAACCCAGTCTTACAGGAAAACGTAACTATTTGACAAGGTGGTGATTTTGTATGAATTAAAGGTAGGGTAGGCAGTTTGTTTGATAAAACACTTTTTGTTATACTACTGAAACATCCTGATAGCAATCAATTGACCGTTCGCAGGCCCCTCCCCCAAAACGGCTATTGTCCAATCACACATCATAGCAACCGTTACTATGTGAGCAGGTCCGTCAAACATTGACTCCAAGCAAGATGGTGAAGCGGTGCGCCCACGGCGTTTGTAAATCGGACACTAGGTACCCCGAGAGATTGTCTGGAGGAGTTGTGTTCTTTCCGTTTCAAAAGCCGAAAACACAACGTGCGCTGTCCCTACAATGGATCAAACAGTGTGGACGGCCCCACTCCCAGTTAAATGTGTCGAACATGGTTAACTCGCGTGCAGCGTGCGTGAGACTGAGACAATGAGATTAGTCAAAGACACATGGAGAAAGCAGATCAAGAGGATCCACAAAGGAAGTACGTTTTCTAAAGTGTTGTTGTTAACATGATATTTTCGGGGGGAAATGAGCAGCAGTCACTAGCAGTGCAGGCAGCACCTGTAGACTACAGTTTAGACTAACGTTAGAGGAGTGCACGTTCGCAACGGGGAACGCATGAAGCTTACTTGACAACATCAGATCATATCAATATCGTAACGAATAGAAATAATGTATGGTTATCTGCATCTTTCCGTCTATTATGTATAGTTACTTTTTAAACACGAAAATCGCATTCAGCATGACACGCAAGCGGTTGCCGTGGTAATGAACAACCTGCTTGTTAAAGCGAATGAATAATCCTGCAGCGAAATATGCAGCGCGAGTTATATATTTCTAACTCCAAACAATTAGCCACTGAAACAGGTTACAGGTTGCATTTGAGGTAGCAGTAACGTTACAGGTCATGGGGTTTCTCAGATTTCGCTTGAGACCGGTTTGAGAGCTTGAGAGCATTATTAGCCTCGATAGTAGTCGTGTCTCCTTCATTGCGTATTTTTATATTTTGAATATATCCCTCCACTGCATACTGTAACCCCTTTTGCCTCGATCTGGAGGATATCGCGGAGGTATTGCTCCAAAAAAGGTCACTGACGCACCTCTTCCCGTCATGGCAATCTGTGGCGCTGGTCGTGTTTGACCATTTGTTTGACGGGCGTAGCAGCAATAACTAGGGGGCGTGGCTTTTGCGAACGGTCAATTATAGAAGTGGTCTAAATATTAAAAACATGTAGATCTTCTGTGGAAGTCACAGGACCAAAAAAATGTTCGTCCAATCATTGCATTTGGTCTGAATGCAATGATTGGACGATGTATTACCTTCCTGTCAACATACAGTATGTGACACGTTGCTGGCAAAATGAGTCGGAATGCGCACAGGCTAATTATGACCTACATTTTGGTCGAATTTGCGGATTTCACAAAAATGAGTTCATTAAGCTCTCATCTAACGATCCCAATGTTCCAAATAGCAAGTATCTTTATTTGTATACGTTTTCTGAGAGTAATA